TAATAATGCCCTTAATAAAACTTGGTTAGGTTAGGTAAGTTAAGGTTAGGTTAAATTCTATAAGCAGTAAATATTGAACAGAAAAATCCCCAAAACATGACCCATATCCCACTATATACATCAACCACGACTCCAAAATATCCACACAAATCTCAAAACACACACACACACACACACACACACACACACACAACAACACAGAACATTATTATATATTCATGAGTTTGAGTAATTTGTCACCTAACGCAGAACATCAGCTTGAAGCTTGAAAATACAACATCAAAAGGTGCAAAAGCTCAACGTTGGGACAGGCTGAGGAGGAGGAGGGAGGAGGAGGAGGAGGAGGAGGAGGAGGAGGAGGAGGAGGAGGAGGAGGAGGGAGGAGGAGGAGGAAGAGGAGGAGGAAGATGAAGAGGAAGAAAAGGAGGAGGAGGAGGAAGAGGAGGAAGATGAAGACGAAGAGGAAGAAAAGAGGAGGAGGAGGAAGAGATGGAGGTGAAAGAAGAGAAGAGGATGAAGAGGAAGAAGAAGATAAAGAGGAAGAAGAAGATAAAGAGGAAGAAGGAGGAGAAAAAGAAGAAGAGGAGGGGGAGGAAAAGGAGAAAAAATAATAAAAAAGAAGAGGAAGAAGAACAACAACAAGAAGCAAGAAGAGGAAGAAGAGGAAGAAGAAGAAGGAAGAAGAGGAGGAGGAGGAGGAGGTATAAAGCCCTTCAAGTACCCTGGTTTTGGGATCTGGAGAACTCAGAGTGTGATGTGAGAGCCTTCAACACCTCTCACACTATTGCCACATCAAAGGTCCGCCTGTAATCTTATGAGGGTGAGATGGAGTTGGCAATACTGAGCCAGAGATTAACTTGTGATCTTGTCTTCCCTTTGATGTGGGTTAACGTTCATAACTACTGATATTACTTCAACCACAACCAAAACTACAATAACTACTACTATTACTTCAACCACAACTACTACTATTACTTCAACCACAACCAAAACTACAATAACTACTACTATTACTTCAACCACAACTACTACTATTACTTCAACCACAACTACTACTATTACTATTATAACTACTACCATCCTAACTACCCCTTGCCTTCACCACCACTATTACTAACACTACCACTATCCCTCTCTTCATCACCACACACACACACACACACACACACACACACACACACACACACACACACACACCATAAGTCTCAATCCCTGGCCTTTATTGATGCTACAGGGGAACTTGCTCTACTCTGGTCATAGAAAAATACACAAGTGAAATTTACTGTAAGAGAGAGTTTATATTCCCTGTTGGCCCTTACCAGACCTTGTATGGGCCGTGTGTGTGTGTGTGTGTGTATTCGTGTATCAGTGTGTATCTGTACAGTACGTGTATGTGTTTGTCCGTGCACACTCTCCTCCAAGGTTAAGTGCCATTATAAACGTTAATGGTGCACACAATTAGTTTACACGGCTCCCTAGATGCTCCAGCACGTACACAGAGACGCCACCATTTTCGTTCTGGTAATACAAAAATAAATTACAAGTTGCTGTCTAAATAAAGTTGTTGAAATGAGATTATTTTGTTTTTATTTTTGGCTTATCTGAGATTAGACAACCCAGTAACTTAGTATATTTCACCTGGAGATTAGAGACCCAAGTTTATTTCACCTGAGAGAGATCGGCAACTGAAATAACACACTCAGCAGGAAGTTGGACAGTGCCGCGTAAACAAAGAGAATGTGTGAAATGTGTGTGTGTGTGTGTGTGTGTGTGTGTGTGTGTGTGTGTGTGTGTGTGTGTGTGTGTGTGTGTGTGTGTGAACCAGACCACCAGGACCCAGGCGACCCTGCCGGTGACTTTCTAGCAAAGGTGTGAATCATGTTCTTCCTCCCTAACGAAGTGTCTGGGAATACTATCATACCCTCCCCATAGCCCTAACCACCCCCCACCACCACCACCACCACCACCACCCCACCCCACCCCCCTGCTTTACCCCACCACCACCACCACCACCACCCCACCCCACCACCCCACCCCCCCACCACACAGCCGGCTTACAACCCATCCCTTTTACTCCCGTTAACGTATGTCGTATGTTTTAGGGCTGACGGACGGACCTACAACAGGACTGACACGTTAACGGACAGACAGACGGAAAGTTTGAATGCTTAAGTGATTATTTTGAGCTCTTGGTAATAATAAAGTACTTAGTTACGACGAGAGTACGACGAAATCATTCGACGAAAACTTTAATCCTTCAGAGTACCAAAAGAGGGAGACAGTGGCATTAATAAAGGGTTTTAAAGGGGGTATATAAGGGCGCCCCCCGGACCCTCTTCCCTACAAGTGCCTCTCTCTCGCCCTCCTTGTCTCGCCTGAGTGCCTTAGCTGCTCTTACCACCACTTCGTTCGCTTGTAAAAAAATCTAAGTTAAATTCATACCGTTTCTATTATTTTCTTCCATATCCGATATCAATTTTAAAAAGCTCCTATATTTATTCTTTTTCTGAATATCATAATTTTTTTTTAACTTAAGATACGAAAACAACTTAAATTACCATATTTTTTAGTGTTATTCAAGATTTGGTTGATTATCTTTCGTAAAATAAGTGAATTAGTTATCTTCCTTTCGTAACATAAGTGAATTAGTTATATTCGTTCTAAAATCGTAAGTTATTTTTTTCCATCTGAGGATAAGGAAAAAATATTCTAATTACGATTAAATTTGAGGCTGATTTAGAACTAATTTTAGCCCCTTCCTCATTCCCTTCCATCGTTCCCTCTCCCTTTCCTGTCTTTTAATTCTATTCATTACCCTTTCCCATCCCCTCCCATCCTCATCTCCTCCTTATCACCTACATCTCCCCCTCTTCCTCCATCCTTCCATCCCACTCATCACCCCCTACCCTCCCCTACACCCCTCCCTCACCCTTCCATCCCACCCATCACCCCACCTCCCCACACCTCTCCCCACCTTCCATCCCACTCATCACCCCACACCCTCCCTCACCCTTCCATCCCACTCATCACCCCCTACCCTCCCCTACACCCCCTCATCACCTCTTCGTCAGTCGCCACTCAAAGTTTTTTCATATCCTGTACAAACTTTTCACACGTCTCATCGTCAGGTTATAATGATGCTCGTTTGATCAAAATTTCAAAAATATTTTATAGGCCTATATATTTTTTTTAAGATGATTTTAAAATTTACTGTTTGAAGGATATAAGTATTTCTACGAATCATTTTTCTGAGTACGTTTTAAAGGATATTTTTAAAGTACAGATTAAATGCCATTTTTTTAGTACTGTACGTTTACAAATTTAATCTGTTTAAGTAAAACCTGAAAGGCCATTTTTATTTACATTATATATGATTTTGTTATCATACTGAAACATATTTTTTTAAGAATATGTTTTAAAACCATATTTGTGAAGCAGGAGGTAAAACACCTTTTATGAGCAGTATGTTGTAAAGCATATTTTTTAAAGCAGGTTTATATTTTCAACAATATTCTTGAGTGAAGACAAGTGTATTTATGTACTTTCTGGTGCATATTAATTGTTGTACAGTAACTGCCACTTACGAGATAGTACAATGTGCATCAGTGTAATTATCTTATTGTCCTGTTACCTAGAACGATGTACACTTTCTGGAGTACAAATATCACCTAAAGTACTTAATTTATTATGTACTAAAGTGTACTGGTCACCTAATGATGTACAATTTGTGGTATAAGGCTGGATGAACCGAAGTACTTACTGTTTTTGGTACCATAATGCAACAGTAACCTTAAGTGATGTACAATATGTGAACTAAAACTGTACCACGTGAGAGAGAGAGAGAGAGAGAGAGAGAGAGAGAGAGAGAGAGAGAGAGAGAGAGAGAGAGAGAGAGAGAGAGACTATTCCAATGACGTGAGATACATAAACACACACATACGTACACACACACACACACACACACACACACAGTACAGCTCGCGTGTTTACATATCTACTAACGAATTTACCCCCGAATAAGTTTCATCTAATTAGTAATCTATTTCCAGTAATGACCCCCACCCGGGTAAACAAACGAGGAAATGAGCTCCCTGTTTCCTGTTAACGGAGAAAATTGGCCGTTTGATTGCCTTCCTCATTAACACAGGTAAGACTGTTAGTACAGGTAGGCAGGTAACCCGCTCTGCGATAACCAACCCACAAAGGCTATAACTGTGTATAATATCGATATAAAAGACTCATTAGGAACCTAACCTAACCTAACCAAAAATAAAATATTAAAACGAAATTATAGAGACGACTGGACATGCGAAGGATCACAAGGTACTACAGGAGTAAGTAAGTATGTATGTATGTTATGTATTAGTATGTATGTATGTATGTATGTATGTATTAGTATATATGTATGCATGTATTAGTATACAGTATATGTATGTATGTATGTATGTATGTATGTATGTATGTATACTCTCACCATTTAGAGTATTATTATCCCTTTTCTCATAGAGTTTAATACAAAAACCCTTAAGCCTCTAAAAACACAAAAGCAGACAAGACAGTGAAAGTAGAGTAGAGTCAGTTGCTGCCCCAGAGCCTGAGTGACAGTCTCTTCCACAAGTTTAGATGAGGAACTTAAACTAAGTTCAGGTCACATGTGGTCGAGAGACGTTAAGTTATTCTGAGATAACTTTCACTATCATTAGGTTGGGTTAGGTTGGGTTAGGTTAGGTTAGGTATTATGTTATATTAGTTAAAATCGAAAATATTAAGTTATAAAGAATCTTAAGTTCTTATCAGTAATTCATTTCTATATAAACACGTAAAAAAATACGAATATCTTACAAAAATCTTGAAATATTAATTAATAAAAAATAAAAATAAAAATCCTGAAATACAAACACAAAAAACTCACGAACATCCATAAAAAATATTACAAAAATAATAAATGAAAAACCACGAATATGAAAAAATCCTGAATAAAAACAAGATCATGAACGTACCCAATGCAAAGCCATCCTTAGTCCACTGTGCCTTGCCTTGTTGATTAGCCACGACACACCTGAGAATTACGTCCTCACCTGCCAACACCTGCACGCTCTCTGGCCGAACACTGAACACCTGTGCGTCTCCTACCACACCTGTAATACAAGGCTTAATTACTATTTGACCTCTGTATCTTTCTACACACCTGTAATAAAATATTCAGATGTTAAGTAGTTTTTTCCTCGCATATCTACATATATTTGTTAGTGATATATGATGCACATACACACACACACACACACACACACACACACACACACACACACACACACACACACACACACACACACACACACAATAAATTCCCAACGTCCATAAAAGTTATATTGATGCATAAATTCAGTTCATTTCACAGCCTACACAACAAAAATCAATAAATTCACCACCCAACACAAAACAGCCAAATAGATGCAAAATATCTGTTCACGTCACACGATGAAATACAAATTAAAATGTATTCAAAAGTGGAACCAACACTAATTGACTATAATTTGATCCTTACACGAACACAACGGGATTTTTAACCTTTTTCTATAAATAATACAAAAATAAAAACTGATTTACAATATGGAAATGATATAGTGTTTAAAAATATAGCTCTTAGTATTATATTCTGATGTGAGTTTTTGTTTTATTACGTCTGTGTAATGATGGTTTAACCTTTTGAGAATGATGGTTTAACCCTTTAAAGCTGATGGTTTAACCTTTTGAGAATGATGGTTTAACCCTTTAAAGATGATGGTTTAACCCTTTAAAGATGATGGTTTAACCCTTTAAAGATGATGGTTTAACCCTTTGTGACGCGATGGTTTAACCCTTCGATGTTTGCACCCTTAATAAAAATAATTAATAATATCAATAAAAACTCACAAATTCTTATTTTACAAACTCAAAAAATCTCAAAATTCCACATAAATTGAAAAAAAAATCATATTTTTTTTAATATGGTTAGCGTTAGCTCTCTCACCTAAAAATAACCCGTCTAGGTTGTCAAAACAACCTTCGACCTTATACTTTGTCATGTAGTTTATCAAATTTATCGTGTACGCACAAAACATAACCTGACACACACACACACACACACACACACACACACACACACACACACACACACACACACACACACACACACACACACACACACACACACACACACACACACACACTCTCGTGAACATTTCATTAGGTATTAGTTGCTGTAAACTTTGTGTTATGTGAGTTTTATTATTATTATCATTATTATTATCATTATAGCCCCTGTGATAGCTAACACTAGTAAACAACAAGCTGATGTGCCTAAGGGTAGCCTAAGATAGCCTTTATTACTTATAGTCTCGTGAAATATAACATTAAAATATTTTACTATAAGCAGAAACTAACAGAGAAAAATTATTAATATGTAAGTGATAATTTCAGTAAATATTGTTCATTCCGGAAAATAAGAACAGAAAAATATTTAATGAAACAAGCTATCAGTTTAATTATTTTTGATTGTCAGAGAATTTTATAATTTTTATTTTATTTATTTTTTCATTCTGCAATATTAAAAACTGGATGATTTTAGACGAGAGAGAGAGAGAGAGAGAGAGAGAGAGAGAGAGAGAGAGAGAGAAAACATGACCAAATTAATATATAAAAAATCTACACTACTCATTTTTCTGCTGTCAACGATCATTCAGTATTACCATTCGTCCCCGTCCTGACCTCATCATTACAATGGGTTCAACAAGCAACGTTCTCAATTGAAAAACAAAATGCGAAAAGTAAAAAAATCATTTTGTATGTGTATTGTGTGTGTGTGTGTGTGAGTGTGTGTGTGTCGGGGGAGGTGTTGGATGGAGAGTGGATGTTTAGAGTGTGTGGGTGGGTAAGAGGGCGGGAGAGTGCGGTGTAGTAAGAGTGTAATGGAGTGTGTGATGGGAGAGTGCGAGGTAAAGTAGGAGTGTAGGTAAGAGTGCGTGGTATAGGAGGTAGGTAAAAGAGTGTGGATGGGAGAGAGGGAGAGAGGCGTGCTGGTGTTGACTCCCCCATCACTTAAGACTCTCCCCCACCAGGTAATTAACTTCACGTCCACCTGTTGAACACCTGAGAGAGTTTGCTCACATATTTCTCTTCTCTTTAAGATGTAATTATATTTTTGGGGACATTTTCGACGTGAATTTACAGTTCTTTTGAGTCTTTTGTCAGTATAGGTTTTATTATCATCCGTCTAAGTGTCTGTCTGTCCACCTGTCTCTGTCTGTCTGTCTAAAACGGGATACAACAGTCTGTGCATGTCTCTTGTCTGTTAGGAGCCATGGGTTGCCTGTAATTATACGCGTGCGGTGTATAATCATAAGTTTGTATATAATCATGAATTACGTGTAGTTATATATTTTTTCTTATGTATTTCGTCTGTAATTATGAAGTTTCTATGTAATCATGAATTATCTGTAATCATAAGTTTGTACCGACAACTCGTTCAACAATTTTGCATCAGAATTACACGTCATTTGGTATAGATGGCGTGTGTGCATTGGAATGGGTTAGGTTGGGTTAGGTTAACGTTAATTTAGGTTGAGTTGGGTTAGCGTGTCTAATCTGCAGGTAAACTAAAACTATTAACCGAGGAAATCCTAACCAGGTTACCCAAGAGGCGGGAAGCACTGCCATCATATGAGTCTGTTAAATATAAAGCTCAGTTTGAAAAAAAACATAGTAAAATTAATCGTTTTGAATTCGCCAATATATAAGGTCAAAAATATATCTTGAATTAACAATTTATGATCATAATTACAAAGTTCGCTGGAAAAAGAAAGTTTATGTTTTTAAAAGTTATGAATTTGCTAAATAATATACAAAGTTGAAAAATAATAACTCCTGACTTTTCAAACACTCAAAAAAATAGGAGTTGAAATTATATTACTTAATGTTTAAATCAATCACGATCTGAATTATATATTATATCCATATATATCAATGTTATAATCATCATAACTATACACATCTTAACCAAGGTATAATGTATCATAATCTTCAAACTACCAAACATTTAATTATGTTCCAACTTCTCACGATGAAATGAAAGTGACAAATTGATTTAAAAAAAGTACTCGACAGACAGTAAAAGTCAAGAGAGAACACGTTAACTCCTGTACTGTCTGGAGCTCACAAGTCTCAATTGAACCAAACAAATTCTATTGGGGATCAAACCAATGACCACAGGGCCTATTAACATGGTGCGAGCAAAGCCTATTGGTGGGTCAGTGAGGTGGGGTCTATGAGGGGTCTATTGGGAGGTGGGGCTTATTAGGTCTGGGGTCTATTAAACCATACAATAGAGTTATAACCTCTCTCTTTAAAACTATTAGAGACAATCGCTTTACGACTACCTGAGGTGTGTGTGTGTGTGTGTGTGTGTGTGTGTGTGTGTTCCAGATATTTAGTAATAAACGAAAAATTATATTCAAAAAAATTGTTGAGCCAATTTTACCTGTCCGGGAACATGATTCACCCTTGTATCAGGTAGTATTGAATAGGCCACTCTAAATACCGTTATACTTATACATTTAGTACTACTATAATCATTACTACCTCTACAATTACTAATGCCCATTTTATGGCCTGCCTCCCCAATAGCCACATATCGCCACTATCAACAACCATTACTTCAACAACAATAGAAAAACAATACAAAAAACCACATTATATAATTCAGAATCAAAGAATTAAATATTAAAACTATTTAACAAAGTCAACCTTCGTGTTTATTGCCGTAGAGTTGAGTCACAAAAAACAGCTCCCAACCGACTCCAAATCCAGACCCGATTCACAACATTCACACTCATTTCGCCTCTAACTAATAATCGAGGATACATCCAATAACAGTAAAGTCCATAATAACCTAGGCCATTAATCTAATATACTAAATGAAATTATAGAAGGCTACTAGATGCGTTTTAAACCAAACTTCCTAGAAAAACCAACTATGACCAAGATAATCCGCCAGTATGGATTCATGCTATCGGGAACTCTTAATTGGTTGACTAACCAATCACCGCGTCCACGAACCTTGATTCATGAGGCAT